CCGGTAATAAATCGGAAATCGTGCGCTCCGAGGTCTGACTTGGGGAAGCGTCAAATTCGGAATTCGTTGACACCGCGAAACCAATTCTGTCTGGACTATCATATGCAAAATGATAATCACCAGGGCCTGTAACGATGACTGCTGGATTTCGGATCGCCGGCTTGAATGGCGACATTAACCTCGCAGTCTCGGAATTGGATTGCTGGCTTCCTGCACTAAAAGAAGGATTGGGTGGGCCTTGGATTGGACGTCGAGGAAGCGGTAAGCCGAAGTCTGGAGGCTCCGACATGACACCTCCAATCTCGAAGGAATCTCGATCATTGATTTTCTGATGCTGACGCCGTACTCTCCTGCAGCAGAAGAATATGATAACCCCGAGAATGAAGAATCCAGCAACTCCAGACGTGACCGAAACACCAATTACTGCTGCAGCATTGAGGCCGCTACTTGTAACAGTGGAAGTGGACGATGCTGGATGATCGCTAGTAGTGCTTGGGGATATTTGTTCGCTGTGCGTTACTGTCAAAGGCGTTTCAAAGATGGCAAGCGTGGATGATGTAGAACTCGATGTAGTAGCCTTGGGACTTGACGGATCTGTTGTGGTCATTGTTATGGTCGATGTCGTCAATAACGTTGATGGTGATGTTGTTGTGGTTGTCTCTGCTGTCGGGTGGATAGTAGACATGACTGTGGCGGTTATGGTAGCATGTGTCTTTGGAACCGCGCCAGCTACCGAGTCACAGATGTTATAGATATCGGAGCTCTCGGTCACATTCATGGGACAGAAGGACAGGTTGCAGCGCAAAGCTGCCTCGCCTAACGTATAACCACTCTTCGTATTCGTCCTGCACAGGCAGTCTAGGACTAGGCTGGCGCACGCATTCGTTGGGTAATCCGACTCTATGAAGAATTTGACGCAGCGCAAGGCACATCCTGGGACAGAGTCGAGCGGCGAGGATGCCACGGACGCCGTACGTCGAGATTGACGGGAGCAATGTGCCACACATGATGTTATGCACAAGATCGCTGCGACAAAGCTCCATCGAACTAAGGCGAGGAGCATGTTGTAGCATTCCTGAAATCAGGTCAGACCGCTTAGACATCCTCATGAAACATTTTCGTTGAAGATTATGGGTTTGCAAGAGGGATCTGAAGAACGGGGACGGCTGGACGTATCCATTCTCACCTTGATAATCGTACGGCAAAGGAACTAACACTCCAGGAGTCATGAGTAAAGATGCAGCTTCATTCTCAAATATCTCAGCACACAAAAACACAGACGAGCCTGGTGCTCATGAACCTGATCGCAGAAGAATCCAGAGTTAAGCAAACGGAACAAGAAAGAGAAGAAGGATCGAGGCTCGCATGGCGGGTAAAACGGATGCCATCATTACAGTTCACCTCACTTTCTCATCCTGCTGACGCTGTTGCCGGCGTTAAATGGCAAAAGTCGCCTTCTTTCGCCATGGTGCTGACTGGCTACACATTGCAGAAGCCCAATATGTGAAACAAGACAGCGAGGCTGAGAGTCTGTAGGCGCTCTGATGAAGAAGTGAAACACAGTTGACGCCATGTCTAATCTGTGAAAGATATGGCTGAGACAGATTGAGCAAAATCTGGCGCTTCGATAGGAGAAGAGTTGAGGGACTTGCTGAATACGCGCCGTGTTGGCGCTGTAATGCAAGTACCTCTGATTTTCCTCTTCGGGTTAGTTCTATCCTTTATATTTTGGCGCCCCGATATATTGTCCAGTAAGGATGTATAGATTCTCGTAACTTTCTTCTTCATAGTCCAATGGCCCGTCGTTCACAGATGCTTCATATTATCATCGCTCAACAAGCCATCCAACGCCGAAGAAGTCAGAAACCCTTGACTATTGAAATTTTTGCTAAACTTTATCTTTTAGACGGGAAGATTGTCAGGAAAGGTACCTCGCAGCGAGAGTGAAGAAGATATGCAACCGAACCATCCGCGAATTGCAGAGTGCATGTCCACAGGCAGATCTGAGCATGTCAACGTCAAATACTAGCCAGTTGGCGACCTTGCATGTTATTGCCAGAAAAAAGAGCATCACTCCTGAACTCCGATCACTTATGCCCTCCGATTAATGAACGAGTCATTTGAGGAAGGGTGCATAAGTATCGGCGTAACTGTAATCAAGTAGATAAGTTCAACAGCGAGGAAACTGCAGCTATTGTTGATGTGGTAAATGCTCGCGTCTTGACTGGAAGAGCGACCAACTGCCCAAGGAGTCCTAGAATCAAAGTAGACGGTTAAGTGGGCGTTGCCTGATGCTAGTAGGACTTTGGGAGATCTACGTAGACAAGAATCAGTGGAAATTATGATCTTCTGACTGTATACCCCATAGTCAGTGACGCGCAAATCTATTGGCGATACTGGGCCGCACCTTGACCTGACACTGGCTTATCTTATGCTTCTACCAGGGAAGACCAGAAATCTACTTTTAATTTTGTGAGACCAATTGCGCGTTTATAGCTGAAGTGGTTGCCATCTCCGCTATTTGGCCATAAAATGGGAGATAAACACCTACAAAGTCTTTAAAGAAATTAGAGACAACTTGTGCGTTTAAACTCGTTATTGAACAAAGATTTGTAGGTTGATAAATTATGTCATTGCCATGGATCACGTGAAATCACTGATAACAAACCAAGAGCAGAAGCCACTGGGAGAAATGAGCTGGTATCATCCGAGTTGAAGACAAGAAACATAGCGCAGAACAATAATGGAGATAACGAGGAAAGAGCAGATGACATTAGGCCGTATTGCAATAATTAAGGTGGTATGGCACGGTCAAGTCACAGCATTTGAGCAGCAACTGCCAAGATTAGTGGGGCTAGTCTCGACCGGCGCTCCACGGAACCATGTTGACGACACCGCTCTTTAATCATCCGTAGTGTATCAGTAGAGATCGCATCTCTTTCGCGTCTAGGATTCATAACAGCTGACATGATGAGGCGAGATGGATTTTCGTTCGCGATTTTCGGTAGATAGACTCAAGAGGGATGAAGGTGATCGGCTAGTGGTGAAGCGTGCCCTAATACTTGAATATGATGTAGCTGCGAAATCGGTTAGCTCTAAAAGCTAGGCAACTACAAAAAGAGACAGGTACATACAAGGCGTGAATGATACCGGGAATCCAACCCAAGATGGTCAGACAGATGTTGATCAGAAGATCAGCACCACATCCTCGTTCAAGGAAAACACCTAGAGGAGGCAGGATGATCGCAAACAGGATCTTGCAAATGTCACTGTAAAGCGAGAGAACGATTAGTACCTTCTTCGCCCTCAGTGTATTCTTTGGTGCTGAAGTTCGCTCCTCATGGGCGAGTACCACCAATGGCCGTAGACCAGCAACAAGGGAGCAAGGGGAGAAGCTTACGAAGCAGTGAAAGGCATCTTGATTTAGTGGTCTGTAGTGTGACAAGGGAAAATATCGAAGAAGTAATATGATGGATATTTGAGGAGATGATGAAGAGGTAATTTCAGAGGCGACAGTAATAGGGGAAAGGGTTGGCAAGGAACAGGGCGGAGGCTGCTTCTTAAATCATCGGCAACACATTAGGGTAGTGCAACCTCAGGACTTGCTTAAGGTACCTTACCAACCTAGGTATCTCCACTAACGTCAGTCAATCTTGTCTTTGCCTTGTGTTACTTTTGCTACATATGAAATCGATAGACGTCTATTTTTATCAATTAATTTTTTAAAATTGTTTATTTCCATGTCAGAGACAATCTTAATACGAAGTTACCTTTTTTTCTTTTCCCTACGCAAGATTTGGGTGTTGAGTATCCCCATAGCCTCATACCAAGCCATACATACATCATCCTTTTGCAGGAACTGAGCATTACGTCATGATTTTACACCCACCTGTGGCTCATGTCTGTACAGACTGACTTGATTGGTGGATGGCTGTTGTTCACGATTTGATATTCCGCTGCCTAGAACGGAACCCTTCCTTGACTCCTTCAAATTAGGTACCTTCATCTGGTAAGGCTGGCGATCTCTCAGGGTTTGACCTTGGACCTTAGGAAATACCGCTTAGCGGAGTATCGTCAGAACTCAGAACAAGAAAGGGGATCCTCGGGCGCCTTTTGTGTTGATGCTACGTGTGATTGCATGTTATGCTTATTCCATCACAAAGGTGGCTGAGAAATATCAGCCGCATGACGCTCTTTAATTGAAATATTCCTCGGTACTCTACCTTATCTCTAAGTGGCAGTGTGGTTTTATTCCTGTTGCCTGGACCTACGTCAGGACTGTCCTTAGTTCGAGGTCTATCTCGCAAACTTTTCGTTGGCTCGAGAGAGGTACTTGAAGCGAGAAAGACATCATAAACTCGGTCTTAGATACCATCAGTTCTATCGATGGTCTATATCTATATAGAATCAATCGAGCACTCATCAGTTGACTTCAATAGTCACCTTGCCCCTTGGGAGTTGCCTCATTCTCGAGGCCTTGGTGCGCTCGGCCTGGCAACTGGAGAGGAAATAGGGAAGAGCTCAGACGCTAGATGGAAGGACGACGTAGTATCAGCACTCATATATATGCTCCAGATGAATGATACGCAAATGCTGATAGAGGTACAATTCTACCTTGCCATTCTCACCCAAGGTACCTCTCTACAGGGTACCATGTCTTGGCGTTCGGTAAAGATAGCTTAAACTCCGCAAGATGTTCTCCGCATACAGAATTATTTATCAACTCTGCACTTCTCACCAGCTCAACGTCTTTGGACATCTACTGGTCATCCTTGTCCATATAGTATCGTTGTTGATGCTTTCATCGCAATGAGACTCGGGTTCGTCCCGCTCTCCATGTCAACGCAACGGGCAATCAAGTCAGTCCCCCTCCAGCAGGTTCCCAGATGCTGTCGAGTACATGGGAGGCAAAGCCCATATCACCTACAGAACGGCATAGCACGAAGATGGCTTCAGACTACAAGCACAGCAGCCCGTGATCATCTACCCTTCGCATACACATGGCTTACAAAGACACCCGAGCAGATCGTGAGTGCTCTCGCTCCCCTCCTTGGAGCAGCTAGCTAAATAGTCAAGAGACTCCAGACGATGTGCTTTCGAGCTTACCTCCGTCCCCCTCATCGCTAGCAGAAACAGAAAATGTTCCGGTCATTCTCTCCACCCCATCTTTCGCCCAGTGGATAAATCCCGACGGCCAATTCCTCGAACAGTGGATGAACAGGTTTTACCAGGTCCCTACAACGTCGGCGTCTCCAGGTCCCATCCACGCTATCCTTGCTGTCGTCGATAGAATACCAGATGCACGTCTACCAACAAACTCCGATGGAGTCATATCAGACTCTGAAGGATTGACGATCACGATCGCTCAGGCAAAGGATATAAATGCAAAAGCTGCAGCGCCCCGCCGGGCCAGAACAATGGGAACAGAAGAGGCCGCCCTTGTGTTTTCAATTGAGACCAGTATTCCAGGTATATCTGATCAGACTCGCAGGCCTGTTCATCAGGTCGGGTTGCGGCTCGCCAACACCATTTTTGTCAATGGTAATGACAATACTCTTCTCGGAACACGCTGGGTTTACGATTCCTCAGCAAGCAAATATGTCTTAGACCAATCAGTCTCCTTGTCAAGCTGTGTAATAACGAATTTTGCGAGGAGTCTACAAAGCTCTTGTGGACTTCCGCTATATCCTGTTGGTCGGAGAAGAAAAGTCATTTCTAGCATGGGCAATATTCTCCGTCAGGTTGCGAAGCACGCTGATGGCAGGTCGAACGAACCGATGCCAGCTTCATCTGAACTGGAGAAGGAGCTTCCCCGTTACATTGCAGAACACAACATTGCTGACCAAAGGGTCTCTGTTTGGGCCCTGGTCGAGAAGCCGGGTACTGACGTTGTACTCAGCGCAACGTCTACTCGGGATCGCCTCGTCCAATCAATTCAGGCTGGTGGCAAACTCCACCGTGTTATGAGTGGTGGAGGGGGATGGGGTAAGAAACAAGGACTGCTGTCATTGGATCCCGAGATAAGCTTTCTGGAAGCAAAGGAATACGGACAGCTGTCAGTCCTTGATCATTTATTCCCAGGTAATGGCAGGACCCCGGTCCAAGAGCCACCGTCCTTTGAGCAGCCTACAATGGCAATGGACGATTTGTCTTCGCTGTCACAAGTTGCTAGTCCAGGCGACTACGTTCAATTCCTCGTTTCTGTTGAGCCAGGCCAGACGCACAGTGGCCTTCCAACATTGTCAGAGCTACCTCAAGGGAGCGTTTCGTATCATTTCGGTATGGTTTCTGATGCAGATATGCTGGCAACCGAGGCTACTGAGCACATAGATCTGATAGCCGTTCCTCGCTATTTTGGCGCTCTATCAGAGAAAGCAATCACGTACTTCCAGCCCAAGATTGAGGCAAACTCCAAGGGAGGCGTGCTTGGAACCAGCACCAAGTGTGATATTCCTGGAAGTCGAATTGAGATGACTTTGGCATGAGATTTCTGAACTCAAACACATGTAAAAGCCCACAGGTGTATATATAGTACAATAAACTCTACTGGTCATTTCACGCAACATTACCTAGAAAAATCATAAACCTTTCTCTCATGGTTCAAGCTGGTTGGCTTGACCCTCCCAACTATGTCGATCTGCCAAGCCGTAATCACGTGGCAGCGCAGATGGTAGCTGAGCCTCTCCGAAGCAACCAGCGTGTTCGCCTTGACCTCCAACTCCATCCCGAAACCCAGAGCCTTCGCATCATCGCAACGATAGCTTCTGCAGTCCTTAAATCACCCGTTGTCGATCACTTACATCTCCCTGAGCTTCATAAATTACATTTTTGATAGCCCGACCGGTTCGATCTTTCAAAATGGCCACGGAACTTTGGTACGTAATCACTTCATCTGCTCCTTTTCAACCAGCTACTGCTCGAATCCCGGTCAACCACTGCATCAATTCCAGCAACAGATCTCAATTGCTAATGCTTTCACCTGAATAGCCCAGTTTATGCTGTGAGTATTCCGCTCTTCCACAAGCCACCGATACCAGAGCTCTTTTCCGTACCCCCACGGATAGCTTCGTCATCGTTTCTCCAGCACTTGGAGCAATCTCACTCGCGTCTACAAATACAGTCAATACTGACTCTGATAGCCCTTCTTCGGTGCTCTTGGCTGCACTTCGGCCATTGTCTTCACCTGCTTCGGAGCTGCCTATGGAACTGCCAAGGCTGGTGTCGGTGTCTGCGGAATGGCCGTCCTCCGGCCCGACCTGATTGTTAAGAGTATGCTTTCGGCATCCTACCGGTTTGACATATGGGATGTATTAACTGATGGTTTTCCATAGACATCGTTCCCATTGTCATGGCTGGTATCATTGGTATTTATGGACTGGTCGTATCCGTCTTAATCGCAAACGACTTGGGTCAGAGTGTTCCTCTGTACACAGGGTTCATTCAGTTGGGTGCAGGTCTCTCCGTCGGTCTCGCCGGTATGGCAGCTGGGTATGTTCCGTCACGATCTCCTTCCTTGAGTTCTATTCCGTTTGGCCCTGAACTGACCTTGCTCGCCTGCAGCTTTGCCATTGGTATTGTCGGTGACGCTGGTGTCCGCGGAACGGCCCAACAACCCAGACTTTATGTCGGCATGATTCTGATTCTGATTTTCGCTGAAGTCTTGGGTGAGTAGCCATGATATGTGACGCTTTAGTAGCTTCATGTCACTAACCGTCGCTTGTTCTCTGTGCAGGTCTGTACGGTCTGATTGTTGCTCTTCTCATGAACTCTCGCTCGAGAATCGACGCCAAGTGCTAAACGAGCACTCCATCGCCTCTCACGGATGAGAAGAATCGAATCACTATCAAGCGAGATTAGCCCCGCCCTCTTTGTGTGTACCAAATCGCATTTTGGGATGTGGGTTGCTCAAACACCATGTAACGAGATAATTGTCCTTTTGTCTCGGAAATGATAGCAGGATCTGCTGTCCATTGTCCAGGCTAAGGTACGAAAACTGACTTGAACGAGGATGGTGGATCTGGGGCTCTTCAACTATAAATGGACAACAGATATAATGCTGATGTGTTGGCGGCCGAGATATGTAGACTAGGAAATTGGGGTTGGTTCACAGACTCTAGTAGATATCGCAGGGCCAACATCCGCGGTGAACTTGTACTTTATGCGAGTTTGTTGTTGATCCTAGCTAGTCTGGGTCATTTATCTTGCAATGCTGAATGTTTTTTTGCTTTTTTCCCCGTTATTTTACATGTATGTTCTTGTTGGCTGGCTGGCATTCTTATTCCTGTTCTTCCAGCTTTCGAAATATTATTGCTATTGCAACTATACATTTGTTAAAAACTGATGGCAATCCGTATAATGGTGAGATGAAAAACGACCGATACATTCGTCGAGCTTAGGTAGCTCAACACGTGGGCAAGCTGGATAGGATGCGTATTTCAAACCATACTAAGGTCCAAAGAGTCAAGTATATACTGCCATTATGATGGCTCTGGACGGAGAATAGTATACGGAATGATATTGTCTATTGATACCAGAATGCTGGATACTATGCATCATCGAGGAAAGAGATACCACAAGGACTATGTCAACAAAAGCTTAGAAGAGAAAGCATTGACGAGCAAACGGGAGCAAGACCCCGTCAGTTGAGAGACAGGCCCAACACTTCTCAGGGTCGTGGTTGGTCAAGGGAAGATGAGACAACGAAAGAGAAGAGAGACGCGGGGCGAATGTAAAAAGCTAATGTGGTGCGAGAAGTTCCCTTAAGCCTTGTCCAGCTTGCGTCGCAGAGTTCTCGTCCTGCGCAGCAGCTTCTTGAACTTGTGCTTCTTCATCTTCAGCTTGCGCCGTCTCCTGGTGCTGATGGCATGCATGGTGTTGTTGTCGCGCAGGCGCTCGATGTACGAGTTTTCCGAACCGTGGGGAATGTCCATGATAGAATCATTCTCCCCGGCTCCGGGAGCCTCCAGGTCCTGCGTGGGGACGAATGGGGAAGCGTGGGCTTGGTATGTCTTGCGGCCGTCCGGATGCGTGGACTCGTGGATGGTCAGAACAGTCGAGAAGCTGGAGGTCTCTTGGGCGGCGCTGGCATCCTTGGCCTCGTCATAGGGCACCGGAGGTGGCGGGGGTTGGAAGGGGCGCAGGCGTTTGGTGAGTTCTTCGATCGAGATTCGCAATTCGGACATGTTCATTCCTTCGAGACCCTCCGCCTCATTGAAGCCCCGACTCAGGATATTCATCTGGTCTTCTTGCTCGCCGAGGTACGCCGCATTCTCCATGTTATGAACGGCGGATGAAAGTGTAAGAATGACATCGGCCGTGTCGGGCTTGGAGGGCTTCTTCGCGGTGAAGATGGCATCAAAGGCTTCGGCGCTGGAGGGTGGAGGTACAGTGGTAGAGACGGAAATAGGTCGATGAATGGAGAAGAATGACGCAACATGGACATCTGCCGGTAGACGGGAAAGTCAGTGTGGAAGCTATAGAGTCGCACAGACATGCGAGGCAAAAGAGACATAGCTGACTCCGCATATCAAGCATAATACTGACCGTGTGGCTGTAGATGTTGCGTCGACGGAACACTGGGCAATCTCGAAAAGGCAGCATGCTGGTTGGACTTGGAGCCATTCCGGCCATCCTTTCCCCTCCGCTTCGACGATTTACCTTCACGCTTATCCCCAGAGTTCACGCCTTTCGTTGGTGTCTGAGACGAAGCATCGATGTTCCTTGAACCATCGCTGGGCTTTGAGGAAGAGGAGGAGTATCGGCGTTGACGCACATGCTCAGTCGTGCCGAAGAATCCATTTGAAGACGAAGCAAGAGCTTGACTGGATGTTCGAGAGATGGCAGAAATAGGCACAATGGGCGTCCACACAGCCCGGCGAACGGAGGATGGCAACATTTGCACAAGTAAGTAACCCAGTAAGTGGGTAACGGGGTTTGCTTGAAGCCGGCGAGAGATGAAGGCGAATTCGAAGTCGGAATCGATCATGCGGAAATGGCGATTATGTCAGCTACTCCTGCCTCAGGCAATAGTACATCACATGATCACGTGGCTCGCCCATGACTCAATTCAGTTATGGTCTTCATAGTTGCCTCTTTTCAAGGAAATGGTGTCGTTGTTTCTGTCCAAGTTTCTGTCCAAGTTTCTGTTCAAGTTTCTGTCCAAGGTGAGAGAAACATTCTCAACATGGACATGTTGCGCCATGTCCCAGGTGGATAGCTGAATACATCGAGGAAATTCGCAAGAGCCATATTCGCGGTTTCCTCGTCATTTGTTCCAGGTGAATATACCACTTCTCATGCCTTAAGGTGATACTAGAGATGAATGCGCCATAGGACTAAGATAGCTACACCTTACAACGTCAGCCCTTTCTCATTATTAGTCCCGGTAAAATGATATTTGTCCACTGTTGAACCTCAATCTACCTTCTTCTTGAACAATGACACAAGCTTAGAACGGCATACCGCATATACCCAGAAAATTAACTTTGATAATGATTTGAACGATTGTTTATCATTCCCAAGACTAGACACGGTAGTAATCTATAGAGGAAGATATACGGAGGCAAGAAGTATACAGGAGATATGAACAGGAATAAGTGATAAAGTAACGATCATTATGTATCCAACACCAAAAAAGGAGTGAAAGGAACGGCAAAATAGAGAGAATGGGTATCACCCAGCAGCATATAGACATAAATACCATCGCTGAAATGAGCAGATATGGGATATCAGGCTGTATGAGCTTTCATGCAATGTAGCATGGCAACGTAGCGAAGAGTCCACAATCCTTCGATTGATCGCTTCAATGAGCGGAAGGAGAGATGGGCAGGTATAAGATATACAGTGTAGGATATACAAAATAAGGATATGTAAGAGGTGAAAAATCCAGGAATGTGAACGCTCTCATATGCAATGTGAAAGAAGCCTTGAAAAGCAGTGAAAATTCAGCGTCTCATGTCGACGGTAAGCCTCGTCAAAAACGATCGTCTGGGTCCGAGGATACTCATAAGATGAGCGTGTGGAGATTCTTCTGTATGATCATGTCCTGTACAGATTCCATAGTAGCTTTCAAAAGCGTTGTGTCTGTAGCATTGGTATAGTGAATGTAGATCTCACGGTCCGGTATTCGGTTGATACCGCGGAATCTATCAGCGAAGTACCGCGCTGCGGCGTCGAAATCCGAGTTCGATCCATTATAATCTGGAAAGTGCTTTGATACCGGTGAGAATTCGAGTTTTCCCCTGAAAAGGTCGATCTTGTTCAGGAATAGAATGATGGGCTTGCGCTTGAACCATTCTCCGTTCACCAAAGATTCGAAGAGCATCATTGCTTCGTGCATTTGGTTCTGCGTTTGCGTTAGATAAGATGCTTCTTCAGAAGCACTGATTCTGAATTCGACTTACGGCATTTTGATCCTCTACTAAGCACTGGTCGTAGCCAGATAGTGCAACCATGAAAAGAAGGCACTGGACGCCCTCAAAACAAT